AACTTTTTATTGTCGATTCAAATGAGGCCATAAATTGTCGTCTTAATCAAAATTCATCTTTGGATTTTGATATTGTAACAAATCTTGAACGTTTAATACGACATTATAATGTATTCGCTCAATTATATCAAATGATGAATGAAGAATTAGAAAATCAACAACGATTAAGAATCGAAACTGATGAATCGTTATCAGAATTACAATTAGTATTTACGTTAACACCAGGAATGGATCGACGTAGATATAATCCTCAGAAAACAAAGTCAGAGAAGTTGCTGCGATTTTTAAAACAACTGCTGATGGAGAAATTCCTGAATCTTATGTTACAATACGTAATAGAAATACTAAAATATTATAACAGATTAGCACTATGGATCCAAATGTAGAACTTTGGATATATCCATTGTTTTATCCGTATGAAACTAGAGGATGGCATCGTAATTTTACGAAATTAAATAGCACTAAGAAAATAACTATAGGGCAATATATTAAATATCGTATAGCAATTCGTAATGAATTTAATGTTTTCTTATTAGGCCGTCGCTTGTTTCAACAATGGCTTGTAGATAATTATGTTAAAATTGAAAAATATAGAATAGAGTATTGTAAAGTTCATCAAAAAGAATTACGTGTTGAAATCTATCAAGATTTAATAGATTATATGCAAAATATGGCAAATAATATAAATAGTCGCGTAGAAAAAATGGTCATACTTCCTTCTACGTTTATTGGATCGCCACATAATATGTTACAAAATTATCAGGATGCTATGGCGATTGTTAATAAATTTGGTAAACCAGATCTCTTTATTACAATGACATGTAATCCGAAATGGCGTGAAATCAAAGAAAATATTCTTTCTGGTTAACAAGCTTCTGATAGACCTGACATTTGTGCTCGAGTTTTTGAAATTAAAAAGAATTACTTAATCGAGTTAATTGTTAAACAACAGTTTTTTGGAGAGGTAGCAGCATTTGTATACATTATTGAATTTCAAAAACGTGGTTTACATCATGTTCATATATTAATTACTTTAAAACGAGATTTTAAAATAACCTCCTCAAATTGTAGATACATATATATCTGCTGAAATTCCTGATCCAAATGAGAACAGTAGATTACATGATATAGTTATGAAACATATGATTCATGGACCTTGTGGTGATTGGTGTTTGATTGATGGAAAATGTTCAAAACATTACCCAAAATCTTTTCTTGAAGAAACTAAAATGGATAATGATGCTTATCCGTATTATCGGAGACGAGACGTTGGGAAAACATTTGAACGTCCTGGTGGATACATAGTTGATAATCGTCATATTTTCCATATTATCCTATTTTATCAATTATATTTAATTGTCACATAAATGTTGAAATAGTTTCAAGTATTAAATCAGTTAAATATCTTTATAAGTACATTTATAAAGGTCACGATGCTGCTGCTGTAACTATTGAACCAGTAACAGAAAATATAATTTTAGAACATAATGAAATACGTGATTATATCGAAGCTCGTTATATAGGACCTGTGGAAGCTGTTTGACGTATACTTGAAAAGAAATTACAAAATAAGAGTCACTCTGTAATACGTTTGCCAGTCCATTTGCCTAATGATCAAAATATAACTATTGAAAATGAAAACGTTGATAACGCACTTTCTTCTGCTTTAGATCAGGTTACTATGTTAATAGACTATTTTGCACTAAATTTATGTGATGAAGAAACAAGGAATTATTTGTATATAGAAATTCCATGTTATTATACATTTAAAAAATAAAAAGTTGGTCGAACAAAAAATGGTCGCAATGTTTCATATTAGGTTAAATACAGTAGTCATAATTGTGTAGGACGAATGTATACCGTTAGTCCAACTCAAATAGAATTATTTCATTTACGAATATTGTTACTCACTGTTGAAGGAGCTACAAGTTTTGAAAATCTAAGGACTGCTAATGAACAAAATTTCTCAACTTTCACAGTTACATGTTTAGCTTTAGGTTTGATTGAAAATGACGATGAATGGATACGAGCTATAGATGAAGCTGTTAAGTGGATAATGCCACGACAACTTCGCAGATTATTTGCACAAATTTTGATACACTGTCAACCGTCAGATTCAGAAGAACTTTGAGAAAAATTTAAAGTTGCGATGTCAGAAGATTATACGAGACATATTGGTATTTTACAAGGACAAAGAAAAGCATACATTGTAATTAGCAGTATACTTCCGACGGAAGGTAAAAGTTTTGCAGACTTTTCACAAATGGAACAATTAGTAGAAAATGTTGAAGAGGAAAGTTACATGTCGCTTGATCAGATGATAGAACTTGGTACGAGACAATACAATCAATTAAATGATAAGCAAAAGGAAATAGTCGATTGTTCGGAACTAGCCCGAACATAGGATAGCTCCGGAGAGCTGGCTGGAAGTACGGGATCGCAGAGCGACGTCCGCCTGCGTCTAGGCTCGCTCGAGTCCGCTCGGTGACCGTCCGGTCGTCCTGATCAAAGGCCGGGGCCTCGCAAGGCGACCACAGACCCTGCTGATCAGGCCGCGTCGCGCGCCGACTGGGCCATGCCCAGGGACGGCGGCGAGAACAAGAGAGAAGAAGCACGCGCACGTGCCGACGTAAAGTGACACGCAGTGTAAACGCAATGGACGCAATAAACGCAGTAGTAACGCAGAAGAGAATAACGCAGAAGAACGACGCAGAAGAACCTAAACGTAGCTATATACAAGCGAAACAACGTCGCCTACGCAAGTCCCGCAGGACACACGTCCGTGACGTCAACGGTGCGCGGCACCCGAAGCACGCCAAGGACGTGCAACGAAACGACCTCCGTCGTTTCGGATGGCCTGCCCTTCCGGGCGTAATGGCCAATAGCCAGCCACGGTCCCGAGGACGCGTGGAAACGGAGCTCCGAGAGCTCCGGCTCGCAGGACGACCAAGTCGCTCCTGCGAGAAAGCCAAGTTCCCAATGGACACTTGGACGAAGGAGCGCAAACGCTCTAGGACTGCGACCGAGCCGCTCCAAAACCGCCAAAGGCCCCCTACGGACACTTGGGCAATAAGGGAGCTCGAAGCTCCGAGGAGACGGTCGAGTCGCTCCTAAGATCACGGCAACGCTGTGAGCCCGAGATCACAAAACGAGATTCGAACCATTTGCCTCAACCCAGCAGGGTGTGTCGGCGCCACCTTCAACTCAGCAGAGTCTATAGAGCAGTGGTTCGAATCTGAAACGAAATACCCGATCGCCCTAGGAAGCCTAGAAAGCGCGTCGGTAATCACCAGTAATACGATGCACTAACGTGTAGCACTACTTGCTATCTAAACTGGCCAGGCAGAAGACAAGACAAGGCAAGGACCAGGCATCGCGCGCCTGGTTATATATCCGGGCGGTCGAATCTTGCCCGCGGGCAGCGGAATCGCGAGCCGCGCCGTGTAGCGGCCGCGGTTGGACCTAGTGGGGGTCCCGCGCGCTCGCTCGCGAGAACCCGAGTCCCCCGCCGCCAGCGAGAACGCCCCGGGCACCAGGCCGCCCGCCCTGCAGCGTTGACTCGCACCGACTATCCGTACAGCACGTGATGCTGTACGGAACATACCGCCCGCCTCCGTCGCGGCGACGGAAGTCAGTGGTGGAACAAACCCCCACCAGGAAGGCCCCACTCGCGGCCTGGCGGCCGTGAGGGCCTGTTAATCCCCTTCATGTTGAAGGTTGATTGGGATGAGCCCCTTTCGGATCCACAGGGAGCCTCACCAGCTTGACCAGTGGCCGGGTCAGGGTCGAGTCCGCTGTGCGCACCTGCGCCACGCGGACGTGCCCATCCGGGCCAGGCAGCAAGCCGGTGATGCGGCCGAGAGGCCACCGGGTAGGAGGAAATCGGCTATCCGCCAAGAGCACGAGGTCGCCGATGTCTAACGGACGAGAAGCGATGAGCCACTTGCCCCGGACCTGGAGCTGGGCTAGATATTCTCTAGACCATCGCTCCCAAAGATGCTCCGTCATATGCTGGAGCAGCTGCCAGCGACTCATCCTCGCGACCTGAACGTCCCCGAGGGATCGCTCAGGCGGACACAACAGCGGGCGCCCAATCAGGAAGTGCCCAGGTGTCAGGGCCTCCAAGTCCTGTGGGTCGTCCGTCAACGGACACAATGGCCTGGAGTTGAGACAGGCCTCAATGCGAGCTAGAAGAGTGGCGAACTCCTCATAGGTCAGTGCCTGCTCTCCTATTACCCTTCGCAAGTGGTGTTTGACGGACCGCACTCCTGCCTCCCACAGTCCGCCGAAATGCGGAGCTGAAGGAGGCATGAACTTCCAGGTGATGCCCTGGTTACTCAAGGAGGCCGCGACTGGTCCCCCCAACGCCATGACCGCCTCAAACTGCCCTCGCAGCTCGCGGTCCGCACCCACAAATGTGGTCCCCCTATCGCTGTACACGGCAACCGGCAGGCCCCGCCGGGCCGCGAAACGATGAAAAGCCGCTAAGAAGGTCGGGGCCGAATAGTCACTGACCACCTCCAAGTGGACAGCGCGCGTGCTGAAGCAGACGAAGACAGCAATATATCCCTTGGAGGTGGTACGTCCGCGCCCTCGAAACGGACGCACCGCGACCGGTCCAGCATAATCCACCCCGGTGGCAGAAAACGGTGGATGAGGCAACACCCGATCGCGAGGCAGCGGAGCCATGAACGGGGTGATCGGGGTGCCCTTATGACGTGTGCAGCGCACACAGCCCCGGATCACCTGGCGCACGAAAGAGCGCCCAGCTGGAATCCAGAATTCGCGCCTCACGGTGAGCAACGTCAGCTGCACTCCCCCGTGCAGCGTGCGTTCGTGCGCATCTCGCACAACGAGAGTCGCGAGCCGAGAGCGTCGCGGTAGCAGGACTGGCTGCCGTGCATCGATCGGTAACGCTGAGAATTGCAGGCGGCCCCCCACCCGCAAGAGGTCCCGCTCGTCCATCATGGGGTTGAGTGGCCGCAACGCCGATCTCACCATCAATGCTCCCCCCGCTTCAGACGGCCCAATTCCTCCGCGAAGAAGCGGTGCTGCGTAACCCGCAGCAGGCGCAGTCGAGCTTCACTCAGTTCGTCCGCCGTTAAGGGTCCACTGATCCGTGGGACTCGCAGGAATCGTCGTACATAGGCCATCACGCGGATGGCCTTGCGGAAGGAGCATGCTCGGAGGACACCGGACCAGTCCTCCGGGTTCACGGCCACCACGTGAACCATGCGCCGTTCCTCGCAAGTGCTTCGGTCGCTCGCGACGCAAGTTAGACCCGGCCAGCCCGCCGGGTCCTCGACAAGCCAGGAGGGGCCACGCCACCAAAGGGCGTGTTCTCGTAGCCCGCCGGCCAACAAACCCCGGGAGGCGCAATCCGCGGGATTGTCGCCAGACGGGATATGCCGCCACGAGGCCCGCGGAAGGCTCTCGTGAATGTACGAGACGCGATTGGCGACAAAGGTGATCCATCGAGATGGATGCCCTGTTATCCAATGGAGCGTGACAGAAGAGTCGGTCCAACAAACCAGGGAGGCCTCGGCACAACCGAGCGCCTCCACAATGGCCTTCATGAGGCGCGAGAGCAGCTGCCCACCGCACAGCTCCAGGCGGGGCAACGTTACCCGCTTTAGTGGGGCGACCCTGGTCTTGGACGCCAATAGAGCGATACGGGTGGTCCCATCAGACCGTCGAGCCCGTAAGTAGATGACGGCGGCGTACGCCCGCTCCGAGGCGTCCGAGAAGCCGTGAAGCTGGATCTCCACTTCAGGCGACCATCCGGTCCAGCGAGGAACTCGGATCGCGGAAACCTCCGCGAGCCCGGTGCTAAAGGCGTCCCAACGTCGCGAGAGCGGAGAAGGGAAAGCCTCGTCCCAACCGAGCCCGGCCAACCACAAGTCCTGAAGGAGGATCTTCGCCAGTACTACCATAGGCCCCAACCAGCCCAGGGGGTCGTATAATCGCGCAACGACTGACAAGATGCCACGCTTCGAGATGGCTGATTGAGCCCCGGGGTTGACCGAAAAGCAGAATGCATCCTCGACCGGAATCCAACCGACCCCCAGCACAGATGCACCCACGGCCCCAGGGTCCGGCAGAGGCACCAAAGGCTCGCGGTCCCCCTCCGGGATACCGGACAAGAGTTCCGGATGTGAGGCCGCCCACTTCCTGAGTCGGAACCCGCCCGCCATGAGCAAGCTGCTCAGCTCACGCTGTCGACTGCGTGCCTCCCCAAGGTCATCTGCCCCCGCAAGAATATCGTCGACGTAGGTTTGTCGACGAAGTAAGTCTGCTGCCCGGGGATAACGTTCCCGCTCATCCAGCGCCAGCTGGTGCAGCGTGCGGATGGCCAGATAAGGAGCGCACGCCATGCCATAGGTGACCGTGGTCAACCGGTACACCGATATTGCCTGCGTCTGGCTGTCTCGCCAGAGAATCTGTTGGAGGTGTTGATCCTCCGGAGCCACCCGCACTTGACGAAACATTTGCTCGATGTCTGCAGAGAAGGCCACTCGATGCATGCGCCAGGCGAGTAGAATCTCGCCCAGTTCTCGCTGTAAGCGCGGCCCCACGTGCACCAAGTCGTTCAACGACCGGCCATTGGTGGACGCCTGCGAGGCGTTGAACACCACTCTTACCTTAAGCTCGGGGGCTTGTTTAATCACCGGGTGATGTGGAATAAAGTAAGAGGGCCGCGGGGTCTCGACATTGAGCGGCAGGCGGATCATATGCCCCTGTCGTTCATAGTCAACAAGAAAGTCGCGATAGGCCCCGCCCAAGGAAGGCTGCCGAAGCAGTCGCCGCTCCAAGCGATGCAACGAGGCAGTGGCAATCCGCCGAGTGTCGCCGAGAGACAGCTCAGTCGGAGGGCTCCTGAAAGGCAACCGCACCTGATAGCGGCCGTCCGCACGACGCCGAAAGGACGCCGCGAAAAACTCTTCACAAGCCCGCTCCTCCTCAGAGAGCGGGGAAGCAACCGGAATCTCCTCCACCTCCCAGAAGCGCCGCAAGAGATCCGCCATGTTGTCCGACGCACACTGCACCACATGACAATGAGAGCCGCCCGCTCCGGCGGCAGACGGGAGAGCCCCGAACAGCACCCACCCCAAGCGGGTACGCTGCGCGACGGGAGCTCCCCGTGGGCCCCGGCGAAGCCCCGTCAACACATCTCGGCGAATACCTCCGCTCCAAGTATCGCCTCGATGCGCTCGTCATCATCGTGATCATCCGCCAATCGGAGGTTCCTCAAATGCGACCACTTCCCCGTCAGCCGAGCCCTCTGCGGGGGGTGGTACGCCGTAAGCCTCGGTAGAATGAGGGCCTCCACCGTGGTGGAGAACGGGAGGCCAGCAGTTGCCCTGAGCCGCAATGACGTGCTGGCCCGCACCCGCTGAGAGGGTCCCTCTGAGACGCCCGACAGCCCGACATCCACCGATCTACGAGACGCGCGCAGCCGCTGCGCAAGCGCCTCGGACACCAGGCTCACCTCAGAGCCCTGGTCAATGAGCGCTCGAACCACAGCGGATCGGCCATCGGACGCCATCAGACAAACCCTGGCTGTGGCCAAAAGCACTCGCTGCGCAGGCATCCGCGTCGCAGCATGCGCCGTGACCGGCGCTTCCCCCGACGCCGGGGCCGGAGACTGCTGGGCGGAGTGCAGAAGTGAATGGTGCGGCTCTCCGCACTCCCGACATCGACCCTTAGACGGGCAAGCGGCCGCCTGGTGCGACGGACCGAGGCAGTTGAAGCACAACCCGAGAGCGCGCACCCTTGCCCGTCGCGAAGAGACCGGCCAATCTTTAAAGGCCGAACACTCTCTGAGTCCATGCTCAGAACCGCACTCAGCGCAACGGGTCGGCTTGGGCCGATGAGATGCAGCGATCGTCGACCAGTCCGCTCGGATGCCGATGAGGCACGGGGGCTGTCCCAATGGACGGAGCCGCGGCAACCGCCTCGAGCGCCACCCGACGCTCGTCCAGGAAGACTGCCAGTCTGTCCCAGCTCACTGGCTCGCGCCGGTCCGCGGTGGCCATCTCCCAGGCCCGCCGCGTTGCAGAGTCTAGCTTGAAACGGAGGATATTGACCAATATCACGTCCCAAGCATCCACTGGCTGGTCAAGAAGGCGCAAGGCGGCTCGCAGCTCGCTGGCTCGATCCAGCAGCCTCCGAACCTCGGAGACGCTCTCCTGACGCATCGGGCCAAATATCCCGGAAAGCGTCGAGATGCTGGTCCACAAGCAAACGACGGTTATCGTACCGTGCACATAGCGCTTCCCACGCTTGCTCAAACGAGCCAGTAGCGACGCCGTAGTGCCGGAGCAGACGTTCAAGCTCTCCCGACACGCTCTGTTTTAAAATAATGCATCCGGTGAACTGATGCTAACGACGGGTTATCGACTATTAAGGACTCGAAGAGATCCTTAAAATTGCGCCATTCGTCAAACTTCCCTTCGAACTTCGGAATGGGAATGCGAGGCAACGAAGCCTCGGGCACTACTGCCTGCGGGGACTGCGTGAGCAGCCGACTCAGCCTCCTGAACCTTCAACCCATCGAGCAGGGTTTGGATTTCTGCGCGCTGCGCAATGTAGACTTCCTGTACCGTGCCACAGGCATCCTGTTGCACGTAGTCCGACTCTCGCACGGTCTTGAGGCGAGACGCTCGGATCGTGCGATGATCATCCTGGAACTGAGCCCAGTACGTGTCGAGAACCTGCAAACGAGACGTCAACCCGCCAACTGACTTCAGTTGACCGGACTTGCGTGCATTGTCCAGCAGCCGCTCCATGCGGTGCTGCCGGTCGTATTGCAGCTCGATGAGCCCAAGAATGTCCTCCTCCTTAGACATAACGGAGCCCGAGCTAAACAAACCGACCCAGGTCCGAGACTACCGCTCCCGATCCGGCTCGAAGGACCAAAATTATGTTCGGAACTAGCCCGAACATAGATAGCTCCGGAGAGCTGGCTGGAAGTACGGGATCGCAGAGCGACGTCCGCCTGCGTCTAGGCTCGCTCGAGTCCGCTCGGTGACCGACGTCCGGTCGTCCTGATCAAAGGCCGGGGCCTCGCAAGGCGACCACAGACCCTGCTGATCAGGCCGTCGCGCGCCGACTGGGCCATGCCCAGGACGGCGGCGGAACAAGAGAGAGAAGAGCACGCGCACGTGCCGACGTAAAGTGACACGCAGTGTAAACGCAATGGACGCAATAAACGCAGTAGTAACGCAGAAGAGAATAACGCAGAAGAACGACGCAGAAGAACCTAAAACGTAGCTATATACAAGCGAAACAACGTCGCTACGCAAGTCCCGCAGGACACACGTCCGTGACGTCAACGGTGCGCGGCACCCGAAGCACGCCAAGGACGTGCAACGAAACGACCTCCGTCGTTTCGGATGGCCTGCCCTTCCGGGCGTAACGGCCAATAGCCAGCCACGGTCCCGAGGACGCGTGGAAATGGAGCTCCGAGAGCTCCGGCTCGCAGGACGACCAAGTCGCTCCTGCGAGAAAGCCAAGTTCCCAATGGACACTTGGACGAAGGAGCGCGAACGCTCTAGGACTGCGACCGAGCCGCTCCAAAACCGCCAAAGGCCCCCTACGGACACTTGGGCAATAAGGGAGCTCGAAGCTCCGAGGGACGGTCGAGTCGCTCCTAAGATCACGGCAACGCCGTGAGCCCGAGATCACAAAACGAGATTCGAACCATTGCCTCAACCCAGCAGGGTGTATCGGCGCCACCTTCAACTCAGCAGAGTCTATAGAGCAGTGGTTCGAATCTGAAACGAAATACCGATCGCCCTAGGAAGCCTAGAAAGCGCGTCGTAATCACCAGTAATACGATGCACTAACGTGTAGCACTACTTGCTATCATAAACTGGCCAGGCAGAAGACAAGACAAGCAAGACCAGCATCGCGCGCCTGGTTATATATCCGGGCGTCGAATCTTGCCCGCGGGCAGCGGAATCGCGAGCCGCGCCGTGTAGCGGCCGCGGTTGGACCTAGTGGGGGTCCCGCGCGCTCGCTCGCGAGAACCCGCGTCCCCCGCGCTAGCGAGAAACGCCCCGGAAGCGCAGAGCCGACCCCGCCCTAGCAGACGATTGCCTAATCGCACCGAACTAATCCGGCTATCCTAGCACGTGATGACTGTACGAGAGAACAACTACGAAGATCGATATTCATTGGAGATGAATTACACTGACAGCATATAGCGGAAGCATACGAATTTTCTTGCTCTTATTGAATATCAATGCATGAATCTAAGTGTTATAACGAATCGGACGGGTCCGAAGGATCATCACTCATAGTCGACTTTAACTGAGACCCGCTGGATTTGATCATACGGTTCGTGGATCACGAGACACACGAATGAGCTCCTTCGATACGTCTGTGTCTGGCAAGGGGACCAAGCACGCTTTCTCAGCGCGGACGGAAGGAGTTAACTCGTTAACTTGAAAAAAAAATGAACAGAAACAGAAGTAAAGAAAGAAGCCAGCGACGTTCACGCGGAGGACGCCCGGCTAAGGCCGAGGGAGTTAAACACCGCTCGGAACGAAGAGAGGAGAGGTCGCCGCCCGCTCGTGGAAATTAAAATACACTGCCGCGTCGTTCCATATTTTACGTTTTGGCGTAGTTTAACGTCCAGGAGGCTTTCCTCTCTGATTTCCAGGGAACGCAAACAGCCGTATCACAAATAAAATGTGACGACAAGAGCGAGCCGAATCGTGCCGCGAATACCGCGGGCGGCGCAGGCTCGTCCATTTCTCTTCGTGAATCTTGCCCCGTTCGTTCTCTCGACGGAACTTCCACCGGCACTCTTATACTCTCATCCTCCTCCGTGTCCATCAAATCACCGTTCGTCCGCGTTAGCCGTTTTGCTTCTCTCCGCGAGGATAAGAGCGCGTGTGTATGTGGAAAACGTAAAAAACAAGGATAAATCTCGTACGTTCCACACGTTGAAGAACGTCACGCTGCACGGAGAGAGAGGCAGAGAAAGGAGATGGCACACAGAGAGGGTCGGGAGAGAGGAGAAAGAGAGAGAGAGAGAGAGAGAGAGAGAGAGATTTCGGGCCTGGAATACGGATAAAAGATACAGCGGTGGGTTTCAAGACTCCTCATTTTTTTTCTTAAGGCCAATGTTTATACCGCCGCATCTTAGAGCACTTATCGCTAACGCGCTCATTTCGGATGTAGAGGATCGCCTGAAAAGATCGCTTTCGCTGCCGGCAGTAAACGCGCGCGTAAATCCTTATCCCCGTCGTTACAACGTGGCGTATGACGACGACGACGACGACGACGACGACTTTGGGCGGCGCTCTGCTCTTTACTTCTTGGCCCATCTTCGTTTCACTTTCATGCACTTCCTGTGACGACGGGTTCTCTGTGAGAACGAGACACTTCCTGACGCGATACAGACGTGAGTCCACCGCCAAAGCGAAAGGCGGTGCACACGCGCGACGTAGCGTGGTGAGGCGAGGCGAGGCGAGACGAGGCGGGGCGTGACGCGGTAAATTCATTCTCCGTTCGTACAGCATTTCGCTCGGAATCGCGAAGGGCAGCTCTCTTGCGTTTTATCCCATAAATTTAGCGCGTAAGTAATCGTCGGTAAGAAGCTGAAATCGTATCCGTTGCAATCTCTCGCGCTAAACGAGAAATGGCGAGAAGAAACAGCGGCAGGAAAGCAGGAAGAAGCGGAAAACGAGACGGGATCGATAAACGTCCTGAGCACAATGGCGAGAGGCGAGAGAGCGGCAGCGAGTGCGTTAGATTGCGCAACGATATTACAAGCCAGCGGGTTCATCATTGGGCCCATCGCGGAAAGATTCCGTCGCGAGGGGTGAAATCAGAATAGGGCGCCGGGCCAGCGGAAGCGGGCACAGCTACGGGAACCCCTGTTTCCCCAAGCAAGTAATAATTATCCTGCAATTATGCGGCGACTTTTCATTTCCCGCGGAAATCGGGCGCTCACTTTTCGCGCGCAAGTGTCGACTGTAAACGTCATGGCGACGAATTAGACGATCGTTCTCGT